ATGGCACAGGATGTGGAAGCTGCCAGCCTCTTCTGAGTCTGCACCCAGAAACTGGCACAGCATCCCTTGCACCAAATTCCACTGGTCAAGCAAACCCCGAATCCACCCAGATTCGAGGAGAGGGGACATCCAGCCCATGTTTTGATGGGAGGAGCATGAAAGAAACTGTGGCCATCCTTAATCCATCCAGCTGACTCACTGTCCGCAGCTGTTCAGAGTTCAGTCCCTGTCTTTCTTGCCTAACTCTCCAAGTCTCCAAAGATTTTCCATTGCTGTAGCTCTTTCTGGCCTCAATGACTGTCACAACATCATGCAAATGCTAGAGATGCAGCTCTCATGCTGGGTACTGTAGCTGTTGCTGGGCAGACACACGTGAGCAGGAACACACACAGTCCGTGGTTGCATGTGGCTGAGGGTCCAAATGTAGGAGTCAGAGGATCAATCGGGAGAAAGAAGAATACTAGCGAATTACAAACGAGATGAGTGCTGTGAAGGAAAGGGACAAGCGGTGTGCCACACAGGACGGTAACGGGGCTCTCACTGGCACTCTAGGACTTTGCCATGCCATCTTGCCACGCCCATGCAGCAAGCCATGTTAGCAGTTGCCATAGTGCCTTTTAGTATGCGAAGGGACTCTTCAGCCAGCTCTTGACTGAGGGTTGTTTATACCGTTCAGAAATTTCCAGATGACGTAATTCAGATGTGCTTGAAATGTGTGTTTGAGGTCTAGAAAGTGGAGAGTCCGCAGAAAGACGTTGCAGCAGACGCAGAGAGACAGGTTCCCTGGAGCACCTACCTGGCTGCTAAGCCTGGCCTGAGCTGGTGGAGCGGGCACAACGTTTGCCCAGGTGGTCAGGGGCGGGGCCATCATCAGGCCAGGGAATCCAGGTAGCAGCTATGGCTTTTTAAGAAAGCCTGGAGGGTGACTCCCAGAAGGAAGTGCCAGTCCCTGGGCAGGGGAGGAGGCTTGGGGGAGCTCCTCAGATCTGAGCCTGGGGTCTGGTGAAAGCACCAGCCCAGGCAGACCCAGGTCTGGGGCCTAAGTCTGGCCACCTGGACCTAGAGAGGAAAAGCCAGGGTAGAGGGAAGCCCCGCAGACCACCAGCATGGGCAGGGTGGACGGGGCCTACCTGAGAGGCCAGCATGCCGCTTCAGATCATCTCAGCGGCTGCAGAGGATATCTGGGGCCATGTGGGACAGCAGTAACGCCTGGATTCCATACCGGGGAATTTGACATAAAGCCACATCTTATACTGGGCCCAGAAAAGTTATTCATGGGTCTTGCCTCTGAGAGGGAGGAGCCAGGGAAGGGAGAAGCGGGGGAATGAGGCAGGGAGAGGAGGAAAGCCGGCAGCCGGAATTCTAAGGCTCAGATGCACGCCTAGGCCTGGGTGCTGGGTCCTCAGGCCTGCGCATGCACATCTCTGGTGAAATCTGTGGCTTCTTCATGAAGGAATTAAGGTTCCACAGCCATATGTGTCTGGGAAGGAGCCTGGGAGAGGTAGCAGCTAGGAACCTTCTCGATTCTGTGAAGATGACACCATCGTCCTTTGCCAGCACACCCTCATGGCGCACTTTTGAAGAAGGGGGTCAGCAGGCCCTTTTCTGTGGCATGTTACCATTTAGCATTTGCATGACATGGTCAGTGAGAGGGGTGCTGGCCAAGCCCGTGCCTGTCCATCTTCTTGGCCCCCAGTCCTTGGCACAAAGTCTGGCTTGGCAAATGCTGGTCAACCTTCCAAAGCAAGGGCTAGTTTGTCTGACTATGTCAGGCAAAGCCAATTACTAACTGCACGGGCTTGGGTGAGTGATTTAGGATCTCTGAAGCTCAGCTCCTTCCTCTGTAAATCAGGGTTAGTAATAATGTAAATCAGGGTTGGGAAAGTTCTTGGAGAGAGCGTGCCTGTCTCGGACACCATGGGGCTCCTGGCATGCAGCTGGTGCTTGAGCATATCTGCGGAACGGTTAGGTTATAATGAGACAGGACCCATGCTCTCAGCCTTCTCAGAGGAGTTCTGTGACTGGCACTCAGCCACGCTCCGGATCTCCTACATACCTAGTGTTCTTACCCATCCAGCCTTAGGTGGGCTCTTGGAATTGGCAGACCCTGGTGAGATGATTGTTGCAGGATGACTTCTCTAGAAGGAGGTGCTGAGATGGGGTTTGGGGTGTTTATCAGGAATCAACGCCTGCAGAGGGATGTGAGAGGAAGCATGACTGGGCAGAGAGAGAACTCAAACTGCCATGAAGGCTCCACAAAGCCCTGGCTTTGGAGAGTCGACCAGCATTTGCCAAGCCAGACTTTCTTCTGAGGGTCAGGAGCTAAAAAGACCAAAAGGTATGAGGTTGGCCAGCACCCCCTCACTGACCACGTCATGCAAATGCTGAATGGTGACGTGTGACAGCCAAGGCCCTGCTGACTTCCCTTTTCAAAATGTACCATGAGGGTACCCTGGAGTAGATTCTGCCCATCAGAGTGCCACTATTCGGCCGAGATGATGCCATTCTCTGCCTCATGGGCACTGGAGGCAGGTGGCCCTGGGAAGGCCTGGCTTGGGTAGGGTGGCTCTGCAGTGGAGGCAGGCCCTGAAGAACTGGCAACCAGAGGGCCTGTGCCAACCACACTCCCTGCAAGTTCTTTCTTGAGGCATCTCCGTATGACCATAGAGATTTTTGGCTTAGCTTGTGGTGCCAAAATTGAGTGTATACAAGTAAATATGTGGAGAGGACCTCATAAGGAATGACTTGTTGGAGAGACACATTTGCCTGTCATTTTTAGGCTTTGATAGTATAAAAGTCAAAGAAAGACATTAAATGGGTCATTAGCTGTCTGGGTTGTCTGTTCCAATAATGTAGGAATAATAGAGGACCAGCTCGTTGTCCCAGGAGCATGCTGGACAGGGACCTCAGCTGTAAGGGAGGGGCATGCGAGATGGGGAGAGAGAGACTGTACTGCAGAGGCACTATGGTGTGTCTTGGCTGGGAGGAGAATTCTAAGGCTGTGGTACTTACCAGCCACACACAGTGACTAAACAATCAGTGGCCACACGTTGAATGGAGAAAAAGATTTTTTTGAGTATCTAAAACATGTAAAATGCAGGTACTAGAGCCCATGGTTACTTCTCTGTTTTCAAAGTCATGGGGAGCCCCTTGACCAGACCTCATGCTGAGACAAGCTGACCGTAGAAGAACCCTCCAGTGAAGGCGGAGTGGCCAGCTTCAGTGAGGGACACTGTGGGCACTGGAGCAGGCTGGTGCCGGGGGATGATTTCAGCTGTACTTTGTTCTGGAGCCCACGGGAAGCTCCAGTTCTTACAAGACCAACTTAGAATTAGAAAACCAAGCAAACCCACTCAAAGATTGCAAGCACAAAAGAACCATCTGCAAGTGTGAGACAGCTTTGCATTACCGAAGCAGAGAGATTGTGACGGTGTCCAAAGGTGTCAGCTCATGAATGCTTCATGGAAGCCTTGGCTTTGTATTCAAGTCGACACCATCACAGAAACCAAGATACCACCCATAATGACCACACTGCAATGGCAACGGCCTGGGGGAAGGTCCGCAAGACCAAAATGGAAGGAGCTCACTGTGGGCTGCTTCCTTTCTTGCTCAGGACTCTCTGTAACAACTCCAACGGGCAAATGAAAGAAGTTACAGCCACTCAGCTCTCTCAGGAGCTGTGGCAGGAAGCAATCAGAGCAACTCACATGGCTGAAGCCCTGGACACCAAAGCTGGGAAAAGCACTGGTGTCCAGTCCTGGTGTAGTCAGTTCCTTCCTTGACCACCAGTCCCCAGGCTGCCCGTAGACAGCAGGAAGACATCACTGCCCAAAGCACGTAATGTCCCGATGCTCAAGGTTGGCAATCTTTATTTTCTGGAAGTTTTCTAGCTGCTGAACCCTGACACATGAAGTACGTATTAGAGAAATGATTAATTTTAAATGTTTATAAAGATGCTAATTCATTATATTGTGCCTACTCCACACAAGGCATGTGTATATGGTGAGAAGGGTGGGCATTTAACACCTGTACCAGAACAGGTCCACACAAAGCTACTTGTCTGGGTTCCCATGTGGGGAGGCTCCATAGTTGTCCTAGGAGGCTGCCCTGTGTGAGGCTCAGCACCACTGGGACTCCCATGACAGAGCATCAGAACCGCAGTATCTAAAAAAAATAAATAAAAGCCAAACTCATCTGTGTTCTTTGCATCTAACTGCACAATGTCATTTAGGGTGTGGCTTATGCATCTTTTTTATTCTTTCAGGCTCCTATAAGGGCAAATATCTGGGTCTCCTCTTAGAAATGGTCAGTGGATGTCTCAGTCAGTAAACTGACCTTGAAGAAGTCATGCTCCCCTCAACTACGGATGCAGTGCCCATGGTGGGCCCATGTTGATATGCTGGTCCCAGGCCAGTGCTTTCTTACTGCCCACTGCCCCCACACGGGCAGCACGTGGATGGGTTAGCAAGGCCTGTACTTTACCCCTTCGCCCTCCCTGGCTTCCACTCATGTTAGCACACTTTATTCCTCATTCTCATGTGCTTTAGAAGTGGGCAGGGAGGAGAAGGAGGAAATGGCGGGGTCCAGCGCTTTGATGTCTCCTTTGGGAAAGGATGGTGTAGGAAAAGAAACCACAGCCATCCACGAGGCACTGGGGAAATTAGATGCTTCCTCTAGACCAAGCAGCAAAGCCAGGGGTGGTTTACAGTCCTGTTGCAACACTCCTCCTTGGAAATTCCGTTGACTAACATGGAAAAGCCCAAGGAGTAAGTTTGGACAGAGGAGAAATAAAAACTTGTCAGCCATGATGGTTTTAAGGTACTTGGAGATCTTATTTCCTTATCCCAATTGCTTACTCTTCACACTTTTTTTAAAGACTCATCAAGTGTAGTAGAGAGAAGCGAGGAAAGTGGAACAAGGAGTTCAATGTGTAACTGACCGTGAACAACCGACTGAGATAACTCACGACCTTCAGACCAGCCTTCACACTCTTCATGTGTCTACTTGATCTTTAATTACACGCACTTAAAATATTGAGGCGGGTAAAGAAAGTGACAAGTAATTGATATTTTATATACACATTAAAAAGCACTTTTCCAATATGTGAAATGTTGTCAAAGGTGATACATTTTGCCAAATCCTGAAAAGAAAGACTCAAAAGATGCAAAGGTAAATTCTATTACTTATTTTTTTCAGCAGTTTCAGCCTAATTTATCAGTTATTAATGCTTTTAAAATGTTGCCATTAGAGAGTAAGAAAAGGAGAAGCATCGAAGTAAATCGCCTTCCAGCAGCCTCAGAAAGAAGAGGGCCAAGAAAACCAGCCCATTTTCTAGGGAGCAGACGGTGGACCCGAAGCAAGTGCCACTCAACAGAACAAGCCTACACAACAGGGCCAAGGCTGGCTCCTGTGAACCCAGCTGTTAACCTCCCTGCTCAGGCCATGGAGGGACAGTCACCGTGTCAAGGAATAAGCGGAATCCTAGACCAGGTCAGAACCTCCAGCAGGACGCAGAAATGGCTTGGAAGCCAACAGACTGTGGATGCCTTGTGGGTGTGGCCAGTTGTCCAGGGGTTTACTGGCCAGATCTGCAGATCATTTCAGAATCAGAACAAGGACCTTCACTGGCCCAGAATGGAACGAGGAGAACAGAAGAGAATCAGATCTGAGATTGCCTGGGAAGGTTCTACATCAGGAATCTGTAAGACCTGGCATGGGTTATCAGGCTCAAAAGTAGGGTAGAAAACTTCCCAAAGATGGACGCTTTCACGAAACCTTCTTCTGCTTTTGTGGTCTGTAGCAGCGACCAGTGCTTCTGTGGCGCCTTTTGGAAGGGGTAGCATGAGAACTGAAAGCCACAGAAGTTCACAGTGCATAGAGAAAATCCATGGGCTCCTCCAGAGGCAGCGGCACTGACACTCTGGCCAGTGGCAAAACCAGGGTGGTCCACAGGGCTGGTCCTCAGTCCTCCTTTGAGAATTGCAGGCATTACAGTCAAGAGCCAATCAACAGCCTCTTGGACTAGTCAGTCGACTTCGAAATATTTGCTTTGGGAAATTCTGACTAAAAGTAATCGTATTGTTCAGATTCATCCCTTTCTGAGTTTTCTTTTTCTCTCACTTCCTTTTTCTCCTGTGGTTTCTCTCTGGTCTGATCAGTGGGGGAAACTGTTTCTGTATTTCTCATTTCTCCCAAAGAACCATGCACCTCAGAGAAGACCCCTCAGAGGGAGAGTGCTCCTGAGGTTGTCTCCAACAACATAGATGACAGCTTCAAGCTTCCCTCTCTCCTTGTAAATGAAACCCACTGGGTCTGGCTGATGCAACCCAAGTTCTTCAGGGTTTTCACAAGATCCCGGCGGAATCTCTCGCCCACAAAAACGTAGAGAACTGGGTTCAGGCAACTGTGGAAGAAGGCAATGGTCTGGGTGACCTGGAAGCAGATGTCAATGTTGGTGGAAACGGCACAGTTGGAGATGAACATGGCATAGGCGTCAATGGTCTGCACCAACAAAATGCAGTTGTAGGGAAACTGAGACAAGACAAAGACGGTCAGGACAGTGATGGTCACTTTTAGGGCCTTGTGCTTGGACGACTTCTTGGCCTGTATCAGCGTGTGAATAATGATGGTGTAGCAGCAAGCCATGACAACAAAGGGAAGGAAGAACCCCAGAATGACCTTCAGGGTCAAGACAGCTGACTTCAGTTTGGTGCTCTCGTCCCTAGGGTAAACCATAGTGCAGACAGCAATGCCAGATTCCCTCTCGATTTGGCTGTATAAGAGTTCCGGGATACAGAGCGCGGCTGCCAGTACCCAGATGATAAAGCAAACCATTTTGCTGTACAGAAGCCTTTTCTGCCTCCAGGTCTGCGCTCTCATGGCCTGGGCAATGGCGATGTACCTGTCCACGCTGATGCACATAATCAACAACACGCAGCTGTAGAAGTTCATCTTGTACATGCTGTTGACCACCTTGCACAGGAAGGTCTGGAATTTCCACTGGTCAGCAGCGGCAATGGCCCAGAAGGGAAGAGTGACCAGAAAGAGGAGGTCAGCGATGGCTAAATTCAAAAGGAACATGTCAGTCATGGTCTTCACTCTTGTGCAGTACCAGTAGACAAGGATGACCAGACTGTTGCCCAAAGCACCCACGATGAACACAAGCCAGTACAAGGGCGGGAGGAAATGGCTCGCAAACTGCCTGACACTGTTCTTCTCACAGTAGAAGTCAGTGAAGTTGAAGTTGATATAGTCTTCCACGGAAGATGTGGATTCATAGCTGTAGTCATCAGACATGTTAGGAACAGGGCTCTGCAAGGGGACACAAGATGGCATTAGATCAAGGAAAACATTTTGTAGGTCCTGTCTGATGGCAGAGGCATGGACCTCTTGACCCTTTCAACCCCAAACACCTATGATAAGGCCAAAGACACGTATGTGTAGGATGCAGGCATTCTGAGGACACCTGCTTGGGTTGTGACATATTTATTCAACAGACGTTTATTAAGCACGTGCTGTCTGTTGACTACCGTGTTAGGTGCCAAGGAAACCATAGTAAATAAGTCAGATGTGTGGCTTCACTCTCACGGAACTTACCTACCCATAGAGCAGCCAGAGAAGCAGATGAACATTTATAGCGTGCATGCCAAGTGCTCTGATAGGGTAGGAAAGAGTGCTTCCGCTGCCGATGGGCACGTTCATCAAACTGTGGGAGTAATGGTGATTGTCCTTCTCCCATGTATTCAGTTTTTTGCTGACCCCAATAAAAGGTCAGCAAGGGCTCTTAAACTTATCTGGGTCCCAGTTCCCCGAGTTTCCTGAAAACACTAGGAACACCAACTTACACACACATACACACACAGAGACTCTCAACCCCATGTACACACACAAGCCCCATGACCTGCTATATAGTTAGCAGACCCTGTGGTCCAAAAATTATTAGGAATTTCAACACATCCAGCATTGAATCAAGCAAGCAGCACTTCTAAGCACAGGGCCCCTGTGTGACTGTGTGGGTTGCACAACCATAAAGCTGTCCCCTGCAAGCGCACACACTCACACGCACAGGCACACACATAATACATGCACTTGCACATGCTGTCATGTACACAAATTGCCAACACTCATGCTCACCATGCACATATATACACAGCATGTGCACATATATACATGCATATATGCACAAACACACACACACACACTTCTTATACTTTTTGTGGGTTCCTGAACCAGAAGCCATCCTAGAACCCCTGCTACGGAAACAGGAAATGAGGACTGGAGATGACACCCTGAGATGTAAGCCCTTGAGTCAAACCTGGGGTGGGAGGCAATGAAGGACCCGGAGTGCTGATGGAGGAGGGAGTTGCCGTGTGCAGGGGAGGGTCCTTGCCATGCCTGCAACATTCTCTCCAAAACCTCTGCTCACAGATCCTCAAGCGCTCTCACTTCCCACCAGTTTCCCTCCCAGGGCTCCCCTTAGGACTCCCAAATTCCACCAGGGACTACCAGTTCTCACTCCCTTTCTTTGAGTGACATTCCTGCCAAATCTCATCTCTACTTTTATTTCTCCTGAGGCAAATGCAGTAGTTCGATTTATCTGAATGCATTTGGACTAGAAGTTGCCCCAAATCCGCAGTAAGCTTTTATTTCGTTTTGAACAGTTAATATTAAAAAATATTTAAGTACAAAGTTTATTTTATGTACTTAAATATTTGTATTTAAATAACAAAATATTCTTTACCTTCTGTTAGCTGGACTCTCCCTATCTGTATACATCGTAATTTCCACCTATTTCTGGTAGATCCAACTAGCATTTCCCAACCATATTTTGGGTGGAACACTATGGTTAAAATAGTCAAGGGTCTCTGTATATTCTTTGTTTGAAATTCACAATACTCCTGAGCACGTTGAAGGATCTGAAAAGTCCTACAGAACTTGTTTTCTTTTGATTGCACATTAACACAGTAAAGACTCTGAGAAGTCCTTCAGAATCATTGAATTTTGTTGAACAATGTTTCCTAAACTGATTGGAACATAGAACCTGTTGTGTGTGTGTTTGTGGAGGGCTTCTTAGATATCAGGGCTCACTGAGTTGATTGATAAAGGGCAGTAGGTGTTACATCCATTTGGGCCCTGGCTGGCAGGAAGTAGCAGGAAGACCCAAGGTAACTTGGATGACCACTGGGAAAATCTGACAACTAGTCCTGACTCTACCTCTGATATGTGACCAAGAGAAAATCCTACTGCAAAGAGAGGGACCCGGAGCAGGATCCTGGAGGTGGCTCTTTGGGACAGGGCAACTGGAAATGGTCCACTACTGCAAAGAACTAATGAAAACTCGTCTCCCCATTTTATGTGTGATTAATCCCTGGGCCTGACTTGTCCATTGTCAGTTTACACTTAGAGATATTTCTTCTGGCATTGGTCCTTGCCTGGAAACCCAGTCTCTTGAGAGGACAGACCTCTTAGGTGACACACATTTTAGAGACCATGTCAGGAGAATCCTCCCAAGGCTGGACATGGAAACCAGCTGCAGTTGTGGCCCCACTAAGTCATCCTGTAGGAGGTGAGACTTAAGTGGACGTTGAGCAAAAGAAGAACCTGAGGATAGAAGGAAGCCTGTGAAGAGCACGGAGACCCGGAAATGGACATCACAGCAGGTTTAAGAGGTTGGGAAGATGACCTATTGGAGGGACCTCTACAAAACCATGCAGATGAGCAAGTACCGACTGTGAATCCACACAATGAATAAGCACTAAACTTGCTTTTGAAGCTTTTGTTTGTTATTTGTGGGTTCGTGTTTTGGGGTTTTTTGGGGGTGGGGGGTCAAATGGCTTTAATAGACTCTCACATGAGTCTGAGCCCAAGGCTGTGAAGCAAATCACAAGCAGCGACACAGATGAGAGCCCAGGGGTCCCAGCACATGGAGTTGCTACTCTGGTCCGGCAACCCCCTGCTCTCCTGCCGCAGCTCCAGGAAGTGAGGAGCAGGGCAGATTTTAAGGACATGTGAGGAGGAGGACAGACAAGGGAGGGCATGCTTGGCAGAAGGACAAGCACAAGAGGTGGCTTTGGTTCCTGGGGGGAAAATGAGATGGGGCAGGTGGGAAGTCCAGTGTCACTTTGCTGTTAGTCCTGGCAGGAGGTAGATTCCTTGGCCAGCAATGGGAGGCAATCTGGGGCAGGGCCTGGAAGAGACTGCAGAAGGAGCAGAAGGGGAGAAATGTGCAGCAGTCCCCGGGCCTGGGTGACCCAGCTCTCTCCACTGCCCGGTGAGCAGGCACAGCCAACACTCCCAAGACTGAGCCCCAGACAAGGACAGTGGGTCCCACTGGAAGCCCAGGGGGCATAGTTTTCCTGCTGAGTGAGGATTAAGGACCTCGTGCTTTTGCAAGGAGTTACATAGTTAGGTTAGGGACTCCCTAGGCATATTTTAAAAGTGATTCAATTACATACACAAAATTTAGATTTATTTAAAGTTTGTCGGACCATGAGAGGCATCCTGGAACAACATCCCGTGTTACGACTCACACTCGTAGTTTCGCACATGCCTGATAGATCTTAGACATCAAATTATTTGGAAATCTCTCAATAAATGTAAACAAACATTTTTATGTTTGTTTAAATATAAACAAACAGGCCATTGCTCCCACACAGGCATGTTATCTTCCCTTGGACTCAGAAGCAGCAGCCCAGGAGTCCCGGTTGTGAACACCCAGGGCAGGAAGAAGGTCTCAGAGCTTTCCAGGGTCTCCTTCTCTGATTCCTGTGTTTTCTGGAAACCCTTGGCCAGATCCAGGCTCAAGATTCCCCTCTCAGGGGAACGGACGGAGAAAGGGCAGGAACTGTGCTTGCCAAAGCCTTCTGTTGTGCCTTAGCACCAAGATGGGCACAAGGGAATGGAGGACATGGGATAAGAGAGGGCATGAGAGGGAGCGAGGCAGGAAGAGAATTAATTTGTCATCAGCAGGGATGTCGGCAGACACCTTGGCCCCAGACCTGAGAAAGTATTAAATTCCAACAATGAGACTTGCATTTCAGTGCCTTTGGCTGTCACCCTGAGGGGGCAACCCAGCAAAGCTATGATCGCTGACAGCACCCCTCAAGGGCTCTTCCTCCAAATTTCTGTGGGACCTTGAACCCTCAAACCATCTGTCCCAGCCCCAGTTTCCTCATCTGTAAACAGGACTCTGCCTTGACTGTGATGCTGAGGGAATGTGGGGTGGCTGCATGGGTGACTGGCCCAGCACATCCTCAGAAAGGTGCCCACAGGATGCCACAGCTACTTTCCATGGAATGTGGGAGTCAGAGCCACAGTGGTCCCATCTTCTTCCCATTTCCATGGCGCCAGACTCCTCTGACTATAGAAGGTCCTCACTGGGGTGCAGGTTCCTTCTTATCTGGGGCTGCTTTGCAGAGTTTGGCTATTACCCAAGATCCCAAATGACTCGAAAGCTCAGAAGCGGCCCTGGCTCTGCTGCTTTCCTCTACTTCTGCTTCCACAGCCTCAGGGATTGAAAGGTGCATTTAGTGCAGGAGAAACTGGAGCCTGCTTTTGGTCAGAAAAATAGTTACTTCACCAGGACCAAATTAATTACTTTTCTGTTGTTATGGATATAGGTGCAATTAGGTAACTATGCATATATAATACTAAGGAATCATTAGCGTTATCATAAATAATTTAGTTGATATCAACTGCTTCAGCCACCACTCTCCCTAGATCATGGAAACCTACAATGTACTGCAAGGCAGTTTGTTAGCCCCCCTGCTAGGAAGTCTGGATTTCAATCATCTACATGTAAAACTCAGGCTTTCCCTTTGAGAAAAGCAAAATTAAAGCCCTTAGGTAATTTTTAAGGCATTTGTGAATCTAACAAAATCATGGGAAATTAATTTGATTCCATAATCACATTTGGCTGTAAAAGAAAAAATGATTCTCTGGATTGATTTGACTCACTGATTTTCTTTTTCTTTTTCTGAGACAGAATCTTGCTCTGTTGCCCAGGCTGGAGTGCAGTGGCATGATCTTGGCTCACTGAAACCTCTACCTCCTAGACTCAAGCGATTCTCATGCCTCGGCCTCCCAAGTAGTTGGGATTACAGGCACCCGCCACCATGCCTGGCTATTTTTGTAATTTTAGTAGAGATAGGGTTTCACTATGTTGACCAGGCTGGTCTCGAAATTCTGGTCTTGGTGAGGTGATCCACCCACCTCTGCCTCCCAAAGTTCTGGGATTACAGGCATGAGCCACAGCCCCTGGCCTGACTCACTAATTTTTGTTCAGCTCTTGGTCTCTTTCAGGGGAATGCATGCCGTTATGTGTTTTCTGTTTTCATAAGGTCTACATAATGTTATGCAAGAAATACAACTAATGTGCCCACCATGGGTTTTTTTTTTTTTAAAGCAAATTACATGAATTCTCCCTTTGCCTCTTTCGTCTGAGTTTTAGAACAGGCACATGGAACTAAGCACACCCTAGTTAAAAATCATTAAAAACCCTTAGCTACTTATAAAATCACATTTCCCTCTGTTTCCACAACATACCCTAAAGCCTCTTTGCATTTGCAAAACCCTCTGTGCTGGACAACAACCTACCCAGTAATGGGCATTGCTGGGCAGAGATCTGACCCTGGGAAACCACACAGATAAATCCTTCCCCCACAGTGGATCCTTCCCAAACCCCCTAAAAAGGGAAGACGAGAGCGTGTTTTGAGGAGCCAGAAGGACACGGTTGTACTCACTGTGAAGCCTGTGGGTGTCATGGTGGGTCAGAGGCAAGCCTGCTCCTGGAAAAAAGGACAAGAATCAAAAAGGGGACTGGTTTGTAAATGTATAGTAACAACCAAACCCCAGAAAGATGGAGATTAATAAATTTTAAATCTGTTTATTCTTGTGAAAAAAATATTCCAAGCTGGAGTTAGGGTCTATATAGTATTCCAGATTTCAGAATCATCTCAGTTATCCACACAGAAATGAAAAGAACCTCTCCTTTGAAGTAGTCAGTCACTTCTTTGACTCTGATGGTCACCTGATTCTAGTATTTGTTTTCTTTCTACTTAGACAATAATTAGTGCATCTCTCATCCACAGATGAGGAATAGCAGCGGGGCTGTTAAACTTTTCCCAGCCCATCCTTTCTACATTTCTCATGTTCCCTTGATTTAACTTCTCTGTCAAGCCCTGTTTTGCTGCCGGGTTCCCCTCCCCCTGCTCTATCAGCTAAGGGACTCACTGAAGCTATCAGGATGGTGGTTGCTTTGCGAATGCCCTGGGCCCCAGACTCCCCACAAAAAGGGCTTTTGAGTAACCCAGTGGCAAGAGAAACATGAGAGCTGGGTGGTGCCCGCTGGGGTTGGGGCTCCCTCCCAAAGAGACCCATTGCCCCCAGCACCCACCTTTCTCCTCTTTACCCTGACTTCAGCAGGAAAAGGAAGTCCTAGGTTTGTTTACTAAAGAAAATGATCTAGTTCCCTAATGCACAGGGCCTCGGAACTGACTGAAATAAATCTCAAGTTGTCATTTTCATGTGTTTTGAATTTCTTTAAAGCCCACCCCTACACAACCAAAGGAATAACAGCTTGACTGCCTTCAAGGACAGAGTCTGCCTTAGCCGGGGCATTTCCTTTTATTCCGTTAGCAAGTTTCTTTCTTTTCCTTTCTTTTCTTTTTTTCTTTTTTTTGAGACAGAGCCTTGCCTGTTGCCCAGGCTGGAGTGCAGTGGTGCGATCTCGGCTCATTGCAACCTCTACCCCCTGGGTTTAAGCGATTCTTCTGCCTCAGCCTCCCGAATAGCTGGGACTACAGGCACAGGCCACCACACCTGGCTAATTTTTGTATTTTTAGTAGAGATGGGGTTTCACCACGTTGGCCAGGATGGTGTCAATCTCCTGACTTTGTGATCGACCCACCTCAGCCTCCCAAAGTGCTGGGATTACAGGCGTGACCCACCGCGCCCAGCCTAGTGAGTACATTTCAAAGAAACGTGTCCAGCATCACACCCCAAGGTTCCCGATTCACATAGTAACATGGACAAGTCTCCAAACAATTACACTAAGAAGCCAGACCAAAGAGAGTTTAAACTATATGATTTCCCTTGCATAAAACTCTAGATAATGCAAACTAATCTATAGTGACAGAAAGCAGAATCAGTGATTTCCTGGCAATAGAGAGAAGGGGAAGTAGCCAGGGATGGCAGCTCATACCTGTAATCCCAGCACTTTGGGAGGCCAAGGTGGGTGGATCACTTCAGGTTAGGAGTTTGAGACCAGTCTGGCCAAGATGGTGAAACCCCATTTCTACAAAAATACCCAAAATTAGCCAGGTGTGGTGGCCTGTGCCTATAGTCTCAGCTACGTGGTAGGCTGAGGCAGGAGGAACACTTGAACCCAGGAGGCAGAGGTTACAGTGAGCCCAGATCACACCACTACACACCAGCCTGGGCCACAGAGCAAGGCTCCATCTCAAAAAAAAAAAAAAAAAAAAAAAAAAAAAAAAGAGAGAGAGAGAGAGAGAAGGGGAGGGGAGGAGGGCAGGTGGGTACAAAAGAAACCTCAGTGGGGGATAAATATGTTCACTGTCTGGGTTGTGTGAGAGCTTCGCAGGGTGTATGTATGTCAGAACGTACATTCTACATTTTAATATTTGCAGTTTATTGTAATTGGACCTCAATAAAGCTGTTCAAGTGAGGTGGGGAAAAGTGAAATATGATGACGGCATTCTGGTTTTCTTCACTTCTCAGTGTCATCTCTGGCTGTCAGCAGGCCCTAAGGAGGAAGGCAGCCAGAGCTTTCTCCTGGCAACCTCTCTGCCGGTAGCTTCCCAGAAGTGCACTGGAGTGCCTTGTGCCATTACAGCTGACTTGAGAGATCACTATGGACCCACGTGGGTTTTTTTATTTTGGTTTGTTTTTGTGGATTTTTTCCTTTTATTCTAGGTTCAGGGGTACATATGCAGGTTTGTTATATAGGTAAATTGTGCATCATGGGGGCTTGGTATATAGATTATTTCACCACTCAGGATAATAAGCACAGTACCTGATTGATAGTTTTTTGATCCTCAGCCTCCTACCTCCCCCCATCCTCAAGGAGGTCCCAGTGTCTGTTGTTCCCTTGTGTCCATATGTACTCAATGTTTAGCTCCCACTTATAAGTGAGAACATGCGACATTTGGTTTTCTGTTCCTGTGTTAGTTCACTTAGGATAATGCCCTCCAGTTCCATCTATGTTGCTTCAAAGGACATGATCTTGTTCTTTTCTATGGCTGCATAGTATTCCATAGTATATATGTACCACATTTTCCTTATTCAGTCTACCATTGATGAACATTTAGGTTGATTACATGTTTTTAATATTGTTAATAGTGTTGGGATGAACATATATATTCGTGTGTCTTTATGTCCATGGTGTTTTTACAATTAAATCAGCTGATAGATAGATAGATAGATAGATAGATAGATACATAGATGATAGATGATAGAGACAGATAATTTGTGTGTATATGTATATGTATGTGTGTTTTACATACATATTTCCTGTCTGCTGAGAGGATCTAAAAGCAATGATACACAGCTTAACGAGCAGCTAGTGCCCTGATCTTGGAGTCTAAATACCTTTCTCCACCAAAAAGAGCCAGGGCTCCTTGGAGATACGTCACTACATGTTGATGATACTGGGTTTGAAGACTAACAAAGTTGCTACCAACATGGTAGCAAACCAATGTCACGTTTATCCTAAAGAGTTGAGGAGGGAAGACACAGCATCTTTATCCCTGGAGAAAAGGTCAACCGAAATCAAAGAATGAGGAAGCATCAGACAAACCCAAAATGAAGGGCTTTCTGCGAAGTAACTGGCGAAATATCAAGATCAAGTGACACAAAGAAAAACTGAGAAACCATCTCAGATTGAAAAAGGCTAAAGAGGCAGGGCCAGCAGATGTAACGTGAGAACCTGGACTTGGTCCTGGAGTGGGAAAAAAATGGCTCTGAAGGACATGACTGGGAAATTAAGGACATTGCAATAGGAACTGTGAATTCAATCCAACGGTGTTGGATCAGTGTTACATTTCCTGATTTTGCCGACTGCATTGCGGTTTTACAGGAGAATGCCCTTGTTCTTAGGAATTACCCCCTGAAGTGTTTAGAGGCAAAAGAATACAGTGTCTTTGGCATATTCTCAAAGGATTCAAAAATATGAAAAAAAAAAAAAAAACAGAGAGAGAGAGAGAAGGAAAAACATGTATATAGAGAGAGGGAGAATAATAAAGCCAATGGGACAAAATGAAAACAGTTGTTTGGGTGAAGGGTTTATGAGCGTTCTTTACACAATTCTTGACTTTTCAGTAAGCTTGAAATTAGATACAAGTAAGACTCGCAAAAAACTTTTAGACAAAAAGAAAAAATGTTTTGGCAATTGACCCTAAGACACAAGACAGCCTGAGACACAAGACAGCCTGACACAGACTGAGTCTGAAATTAGGAGCAGCCCAGCCTCCAGCCGTGAGCTCGCCCAGCCACCTGGGCACGCGTGGAAGTTCTCTGCAGACCTCTGGGGGCCAGGAAAACTCTGGCATTGAGCTGAAAAAATACCATGCTTTTCTTTGATGCCTTTTTTCTTGTTGTTGCAAAAATAGCAATGTGTGTTTGTAGGAATTTTGGCAAATACACAAAAACCGAAAGGATTGAAAATTAAAACCACCCATAATCTTCCTATCCCAAAATAACCACTTTTAACTTTCTGCTGTTTTCCTGCCCAGCCGTGTTTCTGTGCATTCACACACTTTGAACTTTTCTTCTTTCCCCCCCCCCAACAGATTACGAGCATTTCCTTCATCATTAAACATCTTCAGATAGATGAATGCATCAGCTACATGGCATTCCAACAGGGGCTGTGCCCCAACTCATTTACACATTCCCCTCTGAGGGGCAATTCCCTTGCTTCTGACTCCTTTTTATAGTTATTTGGAAATATTCCCCAGGCAAATGAGAAAGGTTGTACTCTGCCCCTTTCCTCCTAAGCACAAGAACCAGGAACTTCCCCAGGAGCATTTCTGAACTCTTCTGAGGTCTTCAGCTCTGTGGAGTTAATTGCTTTCCACTTAGCATGACTCCAGGTGCCATCAAGAACCCAGGGAGTCTCTCTTTTGAAATAAGAAACTCACCCAGCAAGTAGAAAAGCAGCCACTTTGGGCCTGAGAATTGCTCTTCTTTTGCCCCCAAGATGATAAATGCCCAGTTGACTTTGGAAGATCTCAACTCAGTAAATTTAATTTGATTACAAACTGGGGAATAGGGAGGTTGATTTTGAGACATAAGTTAGAAAATACTTTATATATAGATATATATAGACATGTATGTATGTATATTTCTAGTTCCTGGGGCTTATGTTACCTCCTTTTTACTTGCATGAAAGGATTGAATATTAATCATATAACATCTGAGAAAAATTCCCAAAGAAAGAAGCCACAGAAAGAAGAAAGAATGGCTTTGGTTATAGTGAGTGATAGCAAATTTCAGATTGGAAACAGCAATAGATGGTAATGATTTTGGTAAGAGTTTGGAGAAAAGGGCTCCACCTGTGAGGAGTATAAATTTATGTAATCTTTTGGAGGGTTAAGCCCTAACTGTCAAATTTTACAAAGCACAACATCTCTGACTCTGTATCGCATCTGCTTGGAATTGGCCTACTGGTGTTCTCACAAAAGAACATAAGGGTCCAGTTATGGGGATATATGTTGCAGCAGAACAAAAAAATGGAAAACAACTTAAATATTCAGCAATTGGTAATATTATG